CCAACCACCCAGCAGCATCGACATTGAGGCAAGACCCTCTACCAGCAAAAAAGATTACAACTCACAGGAGACTCAGTGATCATTAGAAATTGTCTGCAATAAGGTATTTTTAACTAAGGCATGTGCATTGTTTTTTAGGCATAATGCTATTGTACAGTTAATAAACTGCAGTGTAATACAAACGTAACTTTTATATGTACTTGGAAAGCAAAAGGTTTATGGAACTCACTTTATTGTGCTACTTAACTTTATTTTAGTAGTCTCGAACTTAACTGCAAATCTCTGAGGTGTCCTAGTATATACGTACAAGGTTTGACAATAAAGTTCAGAAACCCACCTAGAAAATGTTCTACACACCTCATTACCGAATACCACTATAGTCACCTTTGAAGTGCTTCCCCAGAGAGCACTTTCATTTATAATGAAATGATGAAATAATGAAAATAATTGAATGTAACATTGTAACTGAAACGATGCCAGGGCCTATCCCAAGCTTCAAAGCAATTTTGAAACTCTTTTTCTGGAATGACCCTCAGAGCTGGCATCATATGGCACAGAAAAACCTGCAAGAAAAGTAATGAATGCCACTCAGCAAGACACTGTCACATGTCAACGTGAACGGAAACACACAGTAGCAAGTTTGCAAACTTAATTGTTGGAACTTCATAGGATGACAGCTCTGATGGGCATTCTAGATAAAGAGTTTCAAAATTGCTTTGAAGGGCCAGGTGCTGTGGCTCATGCCTGTAATCCTAGAAATCTGGGAGGCAAAGGTGGATGGATCATTTGAGCTCAGGAGTTTGAGACCAGCCTGAGCAAGAGTGAGACCACCATCTCTACAAAATAATAATAATAATAAATAAACATAAATAAATAAATAGGAAAACATTACCTGGTACATGACTATAGTCCCAGCTACTTGGGAGGCTGAAGCAAGAGGATTACTTGAGCCCAGGAATTAGAGGTTTCTGTGAGCTGTGATGCCGTGGCACTCTAGCCTGAGGCAACAGAGTGAGACTCTACAAAAAAGAAGAATGTTTGAAGGATGGAATAGGCACTGGTGTCAGTGCCTAGCTTTCTAAGGGGTGTAGTTAATTCAAAAGTGAAAGTAGTGATATTCACCAGTGAGGTATGTAGCACTTTTTCTAGGATGAGTTCACAAACTTAATTGTCTGACCTTTGTATATAGGTATGTTTTGTATGTATGTGTGTATACATGCACACACCTTTCTTACGAGATTTTCAGTTTGCATGTAGAATTGAAGATGCTTATTTTAAACTGTTAAATTGTAAAATGCTGGTATGCAAAGTTATCTCTTATTTGTTCCTAGCCCACACACTATGAATTCTAGATAAGTGTTTGTTTAAAATCAAAAGTTTGGTTTTTCTAAAAAAAGAAAATCAATGCATTACACAATCAGATAAATAAGGCCCATTTACAGTATTGTGGTCAGTGCTAAAGGAGAGCTCTTTTCAGCCTGTTACGAAGCTCAAAGAAAGGACAATCCAGGCACAGCGGGCATCATGTTGTCCTGATCTGAACCCATGCACCC